TGCGCAAGTGAGGTTATTTGGGGGTGCGCAAGTGAGTGCTTGGCCGGCTTTGCTATGTTTGCCGGTAGGTGGTTGTCCATGTTAATGTTAAGCATGAAGACGACTGAATCCAGATGTACACCTAGTACCTCAAAACAGCACATCGGCGCCACGGCGCCTCAAAAACAGCTCCCAGCAGTTTGGCTTCGTCTTCCGTGGGTGGGGCAGAAAGTCAAGGCCACCACTTGGATCGTTGAACGACCCCCCAAGTGGATCGTTTTGACCAGACCTCGGCAGCTTCTTCAGACCTCGTCGCTCCGTTTTCGCCGTGGCCGTTTTCGCCGTTTTCGCCGTGGCCTCGCCGTTAGCGGTGACGGAGTGGACACGGTGGAGTGGAAGAATCGTTCATGGTCGAAGCATCCAGGTTTTTCAAGTGATGTGACATGGAAAGGACATGGAAAGGACATGAGACAGCAAGCGACAGATCGGGTTCAGATCTCACGAGATACAGGCAGACAATGGCCATTTGATGGTGATTTCGACCCCAGGAGAGCCACAGCACCGACCGCAGCCGGCGTTGGCTTCAGCCATTCAGCCGCTTGGATGCGTGGCATGGATGTGTGGGAGTGGCAGTGGCATGGGCAAAGTTGTGAAGGCCAAATGAAGGCAAAGTTGTGAACAATTCCTGGCATAGACCCCAGATAGCAACCAGTCATTGAGAAGCAAGAACCCCCCATAGCTATCGCTATCTGGGGAACAAAGATTTGATCTTTCTCCTTCGCTCAAGAAGTTCTTTGCCCTTAACAAAAACAAGTCACCCGAAAGCGCCCGATCTTTAGGTGCCAAAATAGTGAACCCCTCCAATCTCTGGACCATTCCAGTCACTGCAAGCTGCCAGCTGCCTTGGTTCCAGTGACATTTGTTACAATCAGCTTTTGCCCAGGGGCGTGCTTTTGAAAAGACTAGGGAATGCTTTTGGCACTGCAAAGTAATGTTTCTGCTTGTGTATGCCATGACCTCAAACCACCTTAGCAAATGCTGTTTGGGGCCGATGCTGATGTAACTTTTCCTTAGTTTTACATGTCTAATTCCTTTCATGGGGTATACAGATGGGAGAGCTTTTGTAGGCCACTTCTTCCTTTCTGGAACTTCAGTTTGTCACACACGGTTGGAACATGCCCAGTCAGCCCAGTGTCGCAAGAAGGAGCATGCAGGGTGTCTTGGAACTTCATGGGCGTTCGAACTTCCGTCATACACACGTTCCGTCATACAAGGAGAACCAGGAGAACGTGACACCGTCACTTTGCACAGGCCAAGTGTTGGCACGGCATACTCTATTTGCAAGAATCATCAAGAATCACACCTTTTGAAAGAAACATGAACCGTATATAGAGTCCTTCCCAAACGGTGGTTGAATCCACAAACGACACTGGCAGCCTCCCTCAGATACTATTTCAGATACTATCTACAACTGTAATATCATGAAACCATCATATATAATAAGCTATTTGCAGTCTCCAGCTTTACGGATTTTTCCCAAAAGCATCTCCGATGCTTGGGTTCTCGTTTAGTCGCTAGTGCCACGGAAGAGCGAGACAAAGCAAGCGCTGTTGTGGACGGAAGATGGGTGTGGACGGGGCTGTGGATGGAAGGAAAAGGGTGCGAGACGGAAGGTGCATGGGTGTGGACGGGGCTGGGGATGGAAGGAAAGGGGTGCGAGACGGGAGGCGCGTGGGTGTGGACGGGGCTGGGGAAGGAAGGGAGGGGAGCGAGACGGAAGGTGCGTGGATGGAAGGAAGGGGTGCGAGACGGGAGGCGCGTGGGTGTGGACGGGGCTGGGAGTGGAGCGGTCTTGTGCGGCTGATATGCTAGTTACGAGGACATGGTTGCACCACAAGCATCATTGCAGGTTGCTCCGGGTCAGTTCACAAGTAGAACGAAGCATGGGTGGGGGTAGTTCTGCTCCATGCTTGGCGGACGCACGTTCTGACGCGAGGGGAGCTGTGTTGCGGGGCTTATAAGATGGTCTTGCGTGTCCAAAATGTGCACAATGCATGCGCCACACAGTCGAGTCATGGCCAAAATGACAGGATTGTTGCATGCCAGAACCGCAATGCTTGAAATTTGATGGTTGGAACGAAGCATGGAGCAGCAACATCGAGGGGGCTGATGCTGCTCCATGCTTCCTGGAACGGTTGTCGGAAGCCATGTTGCAATGGGGTTGGAGACTAGCTGCAGAGATTGAAATCAGCCACTTGAAAAACAAATATATATATATATATATACATCCAACCTCCAACCCGACTAAAAAGGGAACCGTCTTGTTTTCAGTGTGCTTGAGGGTGCTTTGCCGTGGATAACGGAGGCTAAAAGACCGGTTGCGCGCTTCTTTTTGCTTTTGGGTCCAGCGCTCACCTTGATTTTCATTACACACAGCTTCCAAGAGAGGGCAAGGCAGGGATCACTCTCGGATCCGCCAATTGCGAGCGAAAAAAGTTCTGAACACCCTCTTGGAACACCCAGATGTTGGCCTGTTTAGCTGTGGACCTTGGGCCATATTTGGTGCTACCGATATTACATCATCGGATCAGAGGCCCAAGCCTTTCACTGATCGTTCTGACTGAGGAAGCCTGCACCAGTGGAAGGCTTCTGGATGGCTCCGTCGCCGACCAAGTCCCGAGAGTATCGAATTGTCTTCACAGGTTTCCGCCTGATCGTCTGTGACTCGGTGGCGATCAGGCGGACACCTGTAGACAGACGATCAGATACTCTGGGGACTTTGGACTTGGTCCAACGATGCACCTGGTGCACTATAAGGCAGGGTCCAGAGCATCCAGGGAGTAGCAGGTGGTTGGGTTTCTAAGTGTACTTACTTCTGTAGACTTTCTTTGTCCCATGAGTCCATGGCGCAAGGGCCAGTGCTGGCTGCTGGCTAAGCCATTAGCTGTTACTGAAAGTGTGGGAATGGGGCGGACTTCGTCAACTGACCGTTTCAACTAGAGGCTGGCCGGTGGTAGTTGCTTTCGCTACCCTTGCTAGTCGGATCTCTATTTCGAAGTCATGTTGCCACTAGACCTCCCGTCGTGCTTGGGCCTTGTGACTTTCCCAACCCAACGGCACGGCTCGCACCCGCGAGGTCGACCGGTCGGCGCCGGTCGGCGCCGGTCGCCCAAGGGAAGCGCACCGGTCGCCGTGCCTCGGACACAGCGCTCTGACTGCACAGGACGCCCAGATGCATCGTGGGTCGCGGTGCCCTTGGGGGAGACCAACACCTGGAACCGCCCTGGACGCCCTGCGCGGTCGTGCTCGGAGTGGTCCCAGAGTCGGATGCGAAACCGCTCTGATGTGGTGGGCCGTGCGCCCATCAGCAGGGTGGGCTGGGTTTCTAGGTTTCTGCGACGGAGGTGTGGATGGGAGTGTAGAGATGACTGGCTGGACGACTGGCCGAAAGAGAGAAAGAGTCACGCAGCGTTGTGGGCGAGTTTGAGACGGGATGCGAGTGGGTCAGGTTTAGATCGTGGTAGACGTGGGAACAATCCTCCGAGTACTGTTTGATGTGGAGAAAGGTGTTCAGACAAAGATGATACTAGTTCCAGATGTCTTTTGGTTTCGGAAGTTTTCACCCTTTGATCAAGCATTGATCAATATCTCGGTGTGCACCAAAGAAAGACTCCATGCTGTCATCGGCCTCAAACCAGAATGAGTGAGGATGCTCATGCCTACGTGAATGCCCATCAAATAGCTGAACGATACCAGTGGTTTCCCCAGCGAAGCACCCGTTACTACCGGGGACGTGATCCCATGATTGGGTGTTTTTTGGGTCGGGACCGATCTAAGCACCGCAAAGGTGATGTCTGGCCCTCTCTGTGCTTCGATGTATCGCCCCCCGCAGTGGAACTTCGATCTCGCTCTGGCAACGTCCATGTTCCACCATCCAGTGTGATCGTGGGTGGAGAAACTGAGACGACCAGGCTTCCCTATCTATTTCTTTGGACCGGCCTGGACCGGTCGATCGCTGCTTTTCCCTCAGCTGCTCAGCTGCTCACAGGGCCTGTTCGCGGCCCGTGGGCCCGTGCCGGTCGGTCCGGGACTGGCCATGTGGCGTTTCAGGCCTTTGGCAAGGAGACATGGGGAATGGGGGAAGTGGGGGAGATCAAAAAAGGATCAAAAAATGAAAAATGGTTCTTTTTCTGCCCATCACTCAAATAACGACATAAGACTCCCTATACAGCTACTAAGCTTCTCAAAACGTTGTGCGGCTGAGTGGTTGCCACGGCTGTTTCATATGCCACGCCTTGTTTTTCACCTCTAGAACTTGAGTGGCTGGGCCGAGTGGCTTGCGGCTCGTGGCTGGGCCGAGTGGCTTTTTGATATGCCGCGCGTTGAGATGCTCAGCTGTGGGGCATGATTCTACGTGCCGTTCGGGCGAACTGTGGTGCAAAAACGTGGTTTGGCCCTTTTGCAGCTCAAGAGCTGGTGGTTCCAAACTCAGGCCAAGAGGATGGTGGTTCAGGCCAAGAGGATGGTGCTTTCGTCTCCCTGGTCTGGTTTTTGCAGCTCAGTTGTTTGGAACAACAGAACAAAGAGGATGCATTGCTTTTCGACCTTTTTGGATGGCCCTCTCGGTGTTCCTTTCAGCCTCTCCGGGCGTATCTTCACAAGTCTTCAGACAAGGCAACGTGAGGTCGGATGGCGCTTGCAGTGACTTTCCCGTCTCCTCCAATCTCCTTCATACCAAACAGTGCCCGCAGTCTTTGCTGGGGACCTTGATCTTTGCGGCTGATTGGAGCCCATGTCAGACATGTGCTTGCCGTTGTATGTGTGGTACTGGAGGTGCCAAGAGTGTTGTTGTAATTGTTGATGTGGCTGATCGCAAGTTGGTTCTTTTTGAGGGCAAGAGTATGGCGCATCAGTATCACCTGTTGCCCAGAATCTTTGCTTAGACAAACGCAGATACTCTTGAGCATGAAAAGAGGCATTTCAGAACGCTTAAGTAAATTGAGAGGACGACGAGCGTTCAGTTTCTTCCCTGAAAGATCTTGTAACGTATCAGTAACTAGTTGGATGATAATGGATCATCATATCCAACATCAATTTGTATATTCCGACGCGGAGTAGAGGGTTGCTGGTACTACTTCTGAAACTGGGCAAGGATATCCCTATCCCTATCTAACTTGACTCGCAACTGCACAGACAAAACAGGCGGAGTAATGAGTGGTTGTCGATTGACTGGATGAGCTTGGAGGTGATTGACATTCCTTGCAAAGTCAAACAGCCACTCCAATATTAGCTAAGTTGAGCGTGGTGTGTTCAAGATGGTCAGTTTGAAAAAGATGGTATAAGTTTTTAGCTGCGACAGCACACAATTTCAAAATGTCCTCGCTTGCCCCTTTCTTCAATGATTGATTTGGTGTCTCTCAACGCCAAATATGGCAAGCTGGGGTGGACTTTTGCATTTTCATATTCTATAAATATACCAAATCTATCAAAGTGTAAAATCTGTAATTGAAGGTTATTTGAATGAAAAAGAACATGTCATATCAAAATCTGCCAAATACATTCAATTCTGCAGCCATCTGCTCCATGTGGCTCGGCCATTTCCGACCCCTCCAGGTCGATCGCGTGTTCTTCGCCCAGACGGGACACCGGACCGTTTTGATAGGACGTTTGACCATCTATGGGGTCACACACAGGTGCGTTTGCCTCAAAATGCAAGGTTCACTCCTGACCGGTCCTTCACCGGCTGCGGTCAGGAGGTCGATCCTGACGAACCCCAGAGGCATCGTTCACTTGAGACCGCCCAGACCAGTGCAGGCGGGGACGGCCACGTCGACGTCCGGACGTCCTGACGGGCCGCAGACGTGAAAGCAGCAGATTCGATCCCCTGGAACCATGGGAACATCCGTGCGACCGATCGCCGGACCAATGCCATGACCGACGTTGAAGTATCCATATCAAACTGGAGTAGACGGTCAGTTCTGATGTTTCCGGCACAACCGTCAGTTCTGACTTCATTCTTTGAAGGTTTTTTGTCTGCGCGAGTGAAGATCGAGCGCCGAGACGTCCTGACCTCTGAAAAATCCTATTCCTCTTCATTTTGCGGGTTCTCCATGTGTGGTACATATTCCTACAGTGACCGAAACAACCACCCCAAAATTCGGCCTCGAGTCGCAGTACGCCAGGAAAAGTGTCGTTCCTGCGGTGTCTCCTTTTCAAAGGAAGCCGACTCCCTGGACACTGTAACGGGCGCAAGACTTGAAGGTAAAGAATTCGGAGACAAATATGTACTACTAGTACTTTAAGGTATAGGAATAGGTAGGATACAATGATATTGGTGCTTTGAAGGTAGTTGAAAGTACATATTGACAAATTTCAGGTGCTTGAGACCAGGACACGGATCAGATCCCGGCTCAGCCAACTGTGAGAGCTCTATTCGTGGGAGAGTCCGGTGATGCGACTCCCTTCGCCGTTCCACCGTTCGCGGTTGCGTCGACCGTCGACCCACATCGGAACCGGCTCAGCCGCGCGTAGCGGCGTAGCGCCGCGCCGCGGCAGGCGGTCGGGCCCTTTGGAAGGGTTTCAGGTCGCTTCTTTAGTGTGGAAATCAAGGTGGAGGACCGAGCTCGAGTGCTTTCGCTGGAGAAGAGGTCATGGAAGGTCCAAGTTTGGGTGAAGTTGCAACATCTGGATAGTCAACCGCCTGAAGCGAAACACGCACAAAACTGAATCCTGTAAGGCAGTCGATTCCGTTCAGGCAATGGTCGGGATATCCATTCCATCCCTTTTTCCATTACTTATTTTGGTGGTAAATATATTCACCGCATGAACCCTTTGATTTGGGGTTCACAATGCACAGCTTCCATTTCATTGCCCGCAGGACTTTGGTGGGGAGAGCATCACCGAGGGAACCATCATGGAGTGGCAGATGCTTGGCCTCAAGACATATGGCCTAGTGATGGACCTTTTAATGGTGTTCGAGAAGGCCCATCGGCATTGGTGAAACATGGTGAAGCCCAACCACGGGGAGGTCAAACATTCGTGGTTTGTTTGAGTGATCGGAGCATCTCACAAGTGGTGATATCATCCTTTCTGATCAATATTTCATTGGATTTCCAGGTTCCGCCCAAATCCACCCGGTTCCACGCCTCTCGCGAAATCCGCTCGTTTCTCTCTCTCTTCCGCGTGCCTACAGGGTTCGTGCCCACCCTCCCCGCGAAGGACCGATATCTCCGGAGTCATCACCGCGGTGAAATCAACACGTCTCTGTGCGCCAAACCGATCTCTTTTCGCCGCCGGTGGGCCGCCGGAGGGCCGCGACTCCGGCGTCGCGTTCCGGCGTCGCGGTCGCGTTCGCTGAGGAAGAAAGTGGGGGACTTCTGTGCCAAGGACGAGATTTTGGCACTCATCGAGACCGACAAAGTCACCATCGAGGCGCCGGGTCGCCTGAACGGCCCGAAACCCGTCCCGACGGGCTGCCTTCGGACGGACCGGACGTCCCTGGAGGTGTTGTGGCACGGTGTGGAACGGTCGAATGGTGGGGTGGGGTGGTCGAAGTGTGTTTGAGGTGGGGTGGAGATGCAGATGTTGCAGTGGTGGTGGTTGTTTTGTTGGTTTGTTGGTGGAGCGGCAAGTTTTGTTGGTTTATTTGGAGTTGCAGATGTTAAGTTGCCCAAGGTAATGTTGGAATTCTGAGTGCAGGCCTCATAGGTTGAGCCCCTCAAAGATAGCTTTTAGGCCACGGAACCATTAAACACGGTTAAGCAACGCACCCTGAAGTTGTGAATATTGTTTGTTTGCCAGTCAGTATGTGAATCTCTTGTTGAAACCTTCGGATTGCCGCATCTTAGCGCTTCGTCCAATCATTAGGATGTGTGTAACCTCCACGTCTTCTTCGCTTGGCATGGCTTCTTCATGGGTTCCGGCAGGACATGCGCTGGTTCGTCAGGGCATCTCAGCACCGACGTTCATCGAGATCGTCAGGAGATCGTCAGGAGGAAATCTCTTACTGTAAGTCCAGCTTCGGGATGTTGGTGACTTCTGTGGCTCTCGATGTCTTTGGAAGGATTCTCCTCGCCGCCGTCATAGATAGAATCATTGGCTTTCCATATTTGGGAAGATGCTCAACACTGCTGTGGTGCGACCGCTGAAAGAAGCTCAGCCACACACTCACGACAGACTTGAATGAGCTACTGTAATTGTGTTTGTCGCTTAAGTGAAGTTGTTCAATTGCATGTTGCATTGTCACGCTGGTGCCCCATATCTGCCAGTGCCCGTGCAAAGCACCACGTCCCTGTTCAGCTTCCTGTTCACCTTTGGCAGCGAAGTCTAAGAGGCAATCGTCACTGGTGCAGACCTGATGCTCGCTTATGACTCCCTCTAAGATATGCTCTTAAGCTATTCATTCTATATGCAATTTGTTCTGGCATTCTAACTCACATATTTTCTGACATCCGTTCTGACATTGTATCTGGCATTTCTGACATCCTTTCTCGCATTCCATCTGGCATATCTTCTGACATCTCTCCTGGCATTCTTTCAGGCATATCTTCCGACTATCTCTGGCCTGCCTTCATATTCTGACATCCTTTCTAGCTCGCTATCTGGCATATATTCTGACATCGGAGGCACACACCCTGGCATATCTTCTGGCATTCTACCGCGCACATCTTCCGAGATCCTTTCTGGCATATCTTCCGGCATTCTACCTGGCATATCTTCTGACAATCTTTTTGGCATTCTAACTGGCTTTGCTGTGCAGCGAGCCCGCGTGTGAGCTGGCACCCTTCACGGTGCACAGGTCCGTGCATGCCCAGCCTGAGCTGGCACTGGCTGTGAGGACCTGACAGGAGAAGAAAGCAAAGGAGAGGAAAAGGAGTAGCACCTTCGTTTAAAATCACTTATTTTTAATATTATCTAAAGACCTTCATCAAGCAGGTGGGGACAGACACCCGTGGTGACCTCCGGTGGGGAGCCGCGGTTCGAGAAGACGGATGGCAGAGGTGAAAGCGCCTGAGAACGGAGTGCTTGAGAAGATCTTGGCGGAGGCCGAGGCCACGGTGGAGAAGAATCAACTCTTGGCCACCTTTACGCCTGGCGGTGACTCGGGAAGAAAAAGCCATCGATGACTCATGCAAACCGGTGGAAAAATTTCAGGGTGATCACAGGTCTAGGATTATAAGTGATCACATGTGATCACACAAGCAGGAAAGACTCAGGAGGCACACATGTGATGGCATGTGACTTGATTGTGATTTAAACCCCTGGGCGTTGAGCAGCCCAGGAGAGCCACCGAAGTCAGCCGCGGCGCCCGCCGCGGCACCCGCAGCACCTGCTGCGGCGGCGGCAGCGCCGACACCGGCGGCGCCCGCCGCAGCGGCGCCAACACCTGCCGCGGCAGCAGCTGCCCCAGCAGCACCGAAGGCTGTGGCGAAGCCAAAACCTGGGATGCATGGCAAGGATGTTTGGGAGAAAGGGAAAAATTGTGAAGGCTGAATGAGGACACAGAGGACCTTATATGTGATATGTTTGTTTTTTCATTGGCTCAAGAATTTGATATTCGCTGTGCAGCAATCAAAGGAAAGACTGGGACTATGCTGGATTTGCAACAAACGCCCAATCTTGGAGATCACCGATGGGTATCAAAGGCCCACCTCTCAAATCTAATCTCAGTTCAATCCATACCCACCAACACCAGATGTGGTACTGGGGGTACCGAGATCCACATACTCCACGCATCTCCACGCATCTCCGGGTTCACACTCCATTGAAGTGGAGTGGCTGTAAGTCGGCGCTGTCCATCGCAGAGAGTCTCACTGTGCCACCCCATATAGAATTCGATTCACCGCCATTGTTGCTACATTGATTCCTGTTTTCAGCCACTGGTAACCATTCCTTCACCACGCACCGCCGTGACGCGCGCCCTCTCCATTCCACCTCGCGCCCTCTGGTCGCGCGCCGAAAGGGCGGGACGCCACGCGGGACGCGACGCGACGCCGGTGCGATGGTGTTTTGCAACACCTCGGCCCTGGCGGCGATCACGCTGATCATCCATTGCCGACAAAGCCCGGAGGTCTGCGAATTGCGGCTTCCCCTTCTGATGGCCCCTTGGAGCAAGTGAGTAAGAATGGAGCAGGTGACTGTATATCAGTTTCCCTTTGCAGCGAGTGGTAGGTTCTTTAATTGTGTTTTTCCTGTTGTAGGCATGCCACATGAAGCATACACATGGTGATTGCTTCGTGATCGGGGTTAGGTAGTGAACTCGGTAGGAGAAAGTTAAAACAGTATCTCATGCATGTAACTTAATTGCCATGTACCAGGGCAACCGTTGCAGATAGGCCAAAACACTGGCCCAGCGGAATGTTCCTCAAACCGGTGCGGCAGGCTCATGTATCCAAGTTTTGGATTACCGACATGTGACAGCTATAGTGGAAGTTTATTTCCGCTTTGAGCAATAAGTGGTGTTGCTTCTGCGAAGCCAATGTCGAGGGTGCAAAGACAAAGCACACGCATGCAAACCTCCCACTAGAAGTTAATCGCACCCCAAGCCAACTCGTCTGAGGAATACTCTGCTTATTTCAAGAAGACCGTGATTTTGCTGGGCCAAGACTCCAATTGGCTGCCTCAAGCCGTGTTCTGCCCTCAGGCGGCTGGAGATCCCTACTCGTGCATCGCAGAAGAGATTTCGCGGTCCAACGATTCGGATGGAACTTTGTCAGACGGTGTTTTTGGTGCTCTGGGATCTTATAAATAAGAGGCATAGACACGTCATGTTTCGATGACACATCATGGTACATCATTTGAGTCAGAGGTAATATAAGATATTTAATGATATATATATATATAATATATATATAAGTCATCATAAATGTCACAAAGGGTACCCCCAAGAATGATTATCGATTTGAAATGAAGCAATGATAGGGTCGCCAGACATGGTCCACTAATCCTATAGTTGACTGGGGTGTTGACTGGAGTGACTAATTGATCCCATTGATCCACAGCCACATGTTTGAGATTGTTTGAGCATGCTTGAGCCTTTTGGGTTATTTGAATGATGGACCGGGGCAACTCCCTGCTAAGCTGCTAGGTGTTTGGGAATCGGAATCCGAGTTGGATGGACGAAGCTACTAGCTCCGATTACAGCTTTCTGAACTTTGTCCTTTAGGAATTCCCAAGTTAGGTGCTTTAGAAGGACCCCCCATATAAACGACCTCTCGGGGTGCTCAGTGCCATTTCTCACCTCTGAAACCACTGACTCCGTCCTTCAGGAATTCTCTACATGCAGTTTGACGTGAGCATCTCTCCCTGTGAGATGGCTCGACGCTTGGAGCCCGGCAAGGTGGGCACCTTTGAGAGCTTGTCCGAGATGTACATCTCCTTCGCTCACTTCGACCGATGCAACACCGAGCCTCGGTGGGATCGAAGCGAGTTCGAACCGCTTGGTTTCGAAGCAGCAGAGGTTGAAGAACCCTATAGACTATCCTAGGGTGGTACCCCTGTAGGGTCCTGTTTACGGTCACTTCGTCTCTGGAATCCAGAGAAAAACTCAATTTCGCGATGGTCATCAACCCCAATGGGTTCGGAGACTCGCTTTTTTCGGAGGGTGGCGGATGGAGCGAGACTCTCGGCACGGGTGGCGGAGGTGATGCAGAAGGGGTATATACGTAGTGGCACCTTGGCACGCTGCTACGCTACGTTATAAAAGTTGTTGACTTTTATTCTATAACCCCCTTCCTGAATAAAACATCTAAATAGTAGGGATGTTAAACTGGTTCTGAAACAACTTCTGAGTGTTGAACTGAGAACTTTTGGGTGGAGTCATAGCCAATAGGCTGCCAATATCCTGAAATAAATTGTGTGGGGCAGCCTTGGGCAGACGTCCTCTTGCGGATCGAGCAAGTAAGGATATGAAGCTGCGCTGTCTTTGGTATTACTGGGATACCAAGAAGAATGAGACCCGGAATCGGATCTCGAGATCTGTGAAGGCCATGAGACAAATGACAGGACTGGGAAACTTGTCCATCCTGGCGAAGCTGGATACGGGGATTTGGCGCCTTGTGTCAGATCTCTTCTACGTCCCAAAGGCCGTCTTTCCCATCTACGTCGCCTTCGTCGCTTGTATCGCAGACGCAGACGTGACCCGCGACCCGCGCGCGCGCGCGCGGCGAGGACACTGGAATGGAGTAATTGAAGTATGGAGGACTCATCAAAGGAAATGGAAAGTGAACGATGACCGAACGAGGAAGGGAAACAACCCAAGAGCTGTTTGAAAAGTGTCTATATAAGTCTAAACACCGGGGGTAATGATAATGATAACTACAAACAGATCAGCTATATAGACTATAGACTAGATGAAGTGTTTGTTAGACCAAGATAGTGGTTGATCCATTCTGGAGCAGATAACACACCGAGATCGCAGCCGAGCAGAGATGTGGTCTTATTGGGTTTCTAGGTTCACGTCCCCATACAGCAGACCTTGTTTATTAATATTTGTATATGCTTATTTGTTGCTTTTTTGTGTTTGCTGGAACATGTCAATCTAGGGATCTTCTCTGGCTGAAGGGGTCATCGACCACAGTTTCTTCTGGCTGTCATGAAGTCCCAAATCTTCTGGGCTTCACTCCTTTGGGGGGGGTCCGGCTCTAGTCTGAGTACCAGACCTGTGTCCTTCCACCGCGCTTTGTCCAGCGACTTTGCAGGCAAAGGCCTTCCAAGAGAATGATGTCTTTCACGAGATGGCCTCTCCCACACTATTGGCGACCTCTGCGGCCATCGCCAATGTGGGAAGCCAGAACTTTGGCTGTCGAGGCACCTGTTGCTCATTGGTGGGACGCTCTGAGATCTTATCCAAAGGCGCCTTTTTGGGCAGATGGAGGAAGCTTGGAGGATGAGTGTGATGATTTTGGGAGGTAGTACAGGATGGATTTGGAGAAGGAGAAGTGGAGTGATGGGGAGGAGGAAGGTTGTTATTCGACACTAGCTGCTCAAGCAAGTTCGATTTGTAGAATGCGATTTGCGCAAGTCATGGGAGCTGTTTGTTCAAAGAACTTCTTGAGTCATGGTTGAACAAGTCATGGGATGTGCAAATTCGGAAAATGTCCGACGGAGTCATTTTGTATATGTTCAAGAGGCTCACGACTCACGACCCTTGCAGAACGCCCATCACCCTTGCAGAACGTGCCCACGCGATCGAGCGAACCTGCAGGGGTTTGCTTGGAGTTGTTTGGCAGTTTTCCCAAAATCGATTCAGCATCCCACACCCACGGATCATTAAAGAACATGACCTACTACAACCTCGTCACTGCAACCCACAGCGCGCCTTGCGCCCAGCCCTAGCCCCGCCCTGCCCGTTCGCCCTGCTTTTCTTTCCCGCCCTGCCCCTTCCCTGCCGCACGTGTCGCAGACCACCCCCCACAGACACCCCTACCCCATCCACCGCGCGCCATTTCCAAACGCCAACGCCCCAAACCCGCCGCACCCGCCACACCTGCGCCGTGGCACTGGGAGGCTTCCTGTGTGGACACAAGGTGGACTACCGCGACCCGGACGTCCTCAAGGCCGTGCAGCTCCTCGCCACGCAGGAGCCGCGACCGGTGCGCTCCGTGCCTCGGTACCGGTGAGACAACAAGACCGGACCCCTGAGGGGTGGGAGTTCCATCCTGGGGTGGAGAGATGGTCTGAAAGTAACTAAGAATGGGTTTTTTCCAGGTGCACTTGTTTTTCAGGTGACACTAGGAACACTTTCACAGGTCACAGGGAAACAGAGTTCCGGAAGTTTGCTGAAAGGATCATTAAGTCGTCGTTTTGCGCCATGGGGTCCATGCCACTCGAAACGTAATGCAGTTTAAATCACTTTAATGCACTCATTGGAGTGTAGCTGTTCTGAGATTACTACACATATATATATATATTAATACATGATACCTTACCTTACAGTGTTCTTCATATACCCCACTCTAATCCGCCTGGGATGCATGACGTGCATCCATGTTGTTCTTCCCTCCCATGGCGGAATAGGCCTGGCGCTTCCCATGGTGGAGTCGGCGCTTCCTTCAGGTCGATGCGCTCGGGCCAAGAGTCTTTGAGGCTCCTTGTGACATGACATCCTTACAAGATGTGACTCTGATCATCCACTGCCCCCAGCAGCAGCTCTGCTACAAGAGGCGTTCGATGCTACAGGAATACTTCTTCTATTTCAAGCGGGTCGCTCGTCGTTCTGATGAATCCCTTTATCGTTGTAGTTGTAAGTTCATGTGATGTGATTGTGATTATGGTTGTTAGGTTCAGGATCCATGATGTCCTTGATATCCCTTTATAGTACAGGAGTCCCTTTATAGTTATAGTTATATACTCAAAATGTCCGGGATCGAGTTGGATCGGTCAAGCATGCGCCACACATGCTCGAGAAAGGTTGTCTTTTTGATGAGATACGAGATGTGGACGCTGGCACACACATGTTCCGGAGAAGCTTACGCTTGCGTGGCTGAAGAGATCCTTCAGAGCGAGAGTGTTTTGGTCCCAGGAATTCTGTACATGAACTTTGATGTGGGGATCTCTCCTTGTGAGATGGCAAGGCACTTGAATGTGACTAAGATTGGCACCTTTCAGGAGCTACCCAAGAAGTACATGACCTTCCAAGAGTTGGATCAATGCACTTTGAATCGATCGGGGTGTATGTGGGATGCTTGGCAGGTGAGCCACAGCAAAGCACAGATCCTCAATGTCACGGGACGTTTGGACACACTCCTTGACCGCGCGCCGGGCCTTGGCTCAGCCGGGCCGGTTGAGAAGACAAAGGCACTGCTGCAACGGATGGCCTTTCAACGCTTGAAAGAGGGCACGTGGATCGGCTTCAGTGGGCTCTATTACCTTCCGAAGCAGGTGGCGGGAGCCGAAATTTGTAGGGAGAACATAGGAGTCCATGCATCGACTCTCCCATGTCACACACTGAAAAGTAACGGGTCTGAAAGCAGCCGATCATCCACGATCCGAATCAATGAGACAGCCAGTGCTCAGGTCTTTCCTGTATTTCAAGATTTGGCTGCTGCCTTCAAGAAGGAGAATGTGTCCAATGAGAGCCTCTTCGGCATGTCAACTGAACCTTCTTCGACCTTTTGAGGGCCTTCCAGCGAAGCACAGCGAAACGACACATGTCCTCTATCCCAGGTGGTGCAAGATGTCTTCCAGCAACGCTAGCGGCTAGCCCGATCGATGAAGACATCAACCTGAGTCGACCTGATGACAAATTTACGACGTGATCGTTTGTTTGAAATAATGATACAAAAGATCAGCCATGATGAGCCCCCCAAAAAGCACAGGGTTTCAGTGAATCAGTGCTCCGGCTTCGCCCAAAGCCAGAAGCAGTTGACACCGTGAAACGCGCCATTTCTGCCAGAGTGGCCACGAGAGTGACCACGAAATTCTGCCTGGGCCGAGGATAGCATCTCCCAGTTTGCTGGCCTTGTCATCGATCATCTCCCAGGTGGACCTTCAAAGCTTCAACTGCAACAATGACCCCGCTCATCTTGGTGAGCGACAAGTGGTCTCCAAGGGCTTCAGATGTGCCTCAGTGGAATTCATGGAGAGAGCGAGGCAAACAAAGCTTTGTTCTTTGGAGAGAACATGCGAGAACTATATGTATCGCAGGATTGCATTTCAGATTCAGGGTTGATCAGAAAAGACATTGTGTCTGTTTTTTTCTGGAATTGGTCTACCGCTGCCGCTGGGTATAGGTCCCTGCGTAGCGGCCGACAACGACCGCCAAGGCGGACGTGGCTTGGAAAGCGATGCGAGAACGATGAGGGGCCCCATGAAAGGCTTGGAGGATTTGCTGGCTCACCCATCGTTGCCTGGCTGAACTGAAAAGCCTGGTTTGAAAACAAACGGGGAAGCACTTCTTCCCACCCTTCTTCCTATGTGCCAGATGGATGAGGCAGTGAAGGTTGTTGGCCTGTCACCACTCCAACCCGAAGAAATCTGCTGTGATCTCCGTGACACTCCGTGACTTTTTCCAGAGGTTTTGGATCGAGAAACCACCTCTTGGGAGGTCTCCACCTCTTTTCTTGGGAGGTTGTAGAATCTCTTCGTCTCCACCTCTTGGGATTCCTCCCTCTTCGCCGGTACCTCGCTGCTTTCGCCTCTGTGTAGCACTCTCAGGAAGTATTCGATGCCCAAGAAGAAGCCCTCCATGGCTTTCTGTCGCACTTCCAGCTTGGCAGAGGTCACCTTGGTCATCCATTGCCGGCAGGAGCCGCAGATCTGCCGCTTGCGGCTTCCTCTTCTTTTAGACTCTTGGGGGGAGGATGCGTCAGTTGACTAAAGTATTAAAGGCTTGGACAAAGAAAACGGATGGATTGCATGCGTTTCGCTGGGTTTCTTTTCAATCCTATTGCAAACTGGACAATTTCTGTTCTTCCTTTTATTGTTCTAAGAGATGCAACTCGATAGTCTCAACTTGTCAACCACCAGACTTCAGTGTCCAGCCAAGGAATACTCTGCTTACTTCAAGAAGACTGTGGTCTTGCTAGAAAAGGATCCTCGCTGGTTGCCGGGCGCCCTGCATTGCGATCGCCAAGGAGATCCCTACTGGTGCATCGCAGAAGAGATTCCTCGGTCCAAAGATTCCAGTGGAATCCTCTACATGCAGTTCGATGTGGGTCTTCTGGTTATTCTTAGGTTGTTTTTTCTCATTTTCCCGCTAGTGGTGAACCAATGAACCCTTCTCTAGGGAGTCTTTAGTAGAATCGTTTGCCCAAACATATTGAAATATATTCCACTTGTTGGGAAAACACCAGTGTTTCTTCAAGCCAATCAAAGGCATGTCTCCATGTGAGATGGCTCAACATTTGGATGCGGGCGCTGTGGGCACTTTCGAGACCTTGTCTGACAAATACCTCACCTTTGCCAAGCTGGATGAGTGCAACACTAAGATGAAGCTGCGGTGTTTGTGGCACCATTGGGACATGAGGGGGAACTCCACCAGGAACAGGCTGCTCAAAACTGCCAAGGCATTGAATGACATTGCGGCGCAACTGAGATTAGTAAACACATCAATTCTTCAGAAGCTGGAAACTGGAATTTGGCGCGCTGTGTCAGATTTTTTGTACTTGCCAAAGCAAGCCTTTCCTGTTTATGCAGCCTTTGCCGCTGGTCTTTGCACAAGTGGAGCTGCTGGAAAGAAGGGTACTTTTGACCTCACTGTCACCAAATAAACTTGAATATCTAGAAAAAATATCTATATATACGTACATACTATACAATATTAACCAATTCAAATTCTATGCATCAAAATTCAGTATATGGTTTTACGATGTCCAAGACCGCCTTAGGCAAGGAAGTCATAGAAGCATATCGGCTTCTATTCTAAATGCAGTAACAATCCGGTTTTGTCGCACTGGGCTCTGGAAACACCAAGTAGATGTTCAATGATTCAACACCCAGTCACTGCGACCGTTTGCGCAAAAGATTCCTTTGAATCACCTTTGTTTTCCCTCCCTGTTGGATCATTCCAGAGCCATATCTTAGCTTTCGTGCCATCTCACATCCAACTTCGCCAAAGCCTTCAAAGAGAGTACATAGTTCAGGACTCCACTCAATTCGTCTTCGAGTCGTGAAACGAGGCCAAAGCCTTCAAAGAGAACAACATCTTTCACGAGCTGGCCTCGCCGACCCTGCTGATGACCTCCGCCAGCATCTCCCACGTGCCGCTGCAGAACTTCCGCTGCCGCGGCTCGTGCTGCGCGCGCGTCGCCAAGGATCAGATCGTCTCCAAAGGTGCCGAAGCGGCGATCGGTCCTGGCGGTTGAGTGACCGTGGGTGAGTGGCCGTGGTGTGGCCGGGAATATATTGCATTTTGTATAATATACAGTATACAGTATATGATGAATCCCATGATATACGGGGTGTTTTTGGGACATTTTTGTGGGTGTTTCAGATACAACCATATGGGTGACCCCATGGAACCAATTGTATAAAAAACCATCGGTATCGCCCTTAAAGGCAGCTAGCGCAAGGGGTGGCGACTTCTTCGCGCACCGAACAAATAGGTCCCTTTGACCAAACATGTTTGCGTGCTGCGAACTCCATAGTAGCTTCTTGCTACAAATAGCGATGGCCTCCACCTAGGAGTTTCCTTGTTACTCACATTTTCACCTTCAAAACACTAGGTCATCTTGGCCACTCTGAGCCAAATCCGGTCTAGTGACGGCCTTCTTTTGAGCCGAGCCGGAGGCCTGACGGTGCGTGGATCCACTTGACATCGAGAGGAAACCGAGGGTTCTAAAACCCAGCGAGACTCTATCGAATATCTCCCCAAACTGGGTCGGCCAGTCCAAAACTGACAGTCTGCCGCACTGGCAGCGGTTGGCCTAATTTGGGGGTGCACTGCTTGCTTATTTTAACCCAAAGACAGCTCCCAGTCGTACTGGGACAACCTTCGCTGGGCGAACAGAGCCCCAAGCATCGCCAGTTGCTGGCGCCCAGAGCCCCCCGCCGCTGAGGCTTTCTTTGTGGACACAAGGTGCAGAACCGTCCCGTTCGCCGCCGCGAGTACGAAAACGAAACACGGCGGAAGCGGTGGGAACAGGAAGTGGCGAGCTGATGAGCCGCCTTTTTGGGGAAGATATATGATCTGATATAAGCAGTATGATGATGGAGGGGTGTCCAATGGAGGTCCCTTAGTAGTGTAGGGGCTTCCATTGGTGACCCCTTTGAAGGTGCTGGCAGTATGATGATTATAGTCTGTCAGGCAGGAATTCCCAGCTCCAGTGGTGGTTCCCACTTAGAACAATCGACAAAGTTTCGGGAGCGGGTGCTGAGATGAACGCTGTCTCAGTATGGATCGAGGTACCCAGAAAACACTCCAAAGCCACCGAATGATGGCACCTTGCTTTCGGGTGGAGCCTCCTGGGTTCGCCTCAAGATCCTCTTCCCCACTTCTTCCTCGCCAGGGTGCGGCCCCATCGCGCTGAAGCCCGCGAGCGCACGCCCCATCCGCATGCCCCACGCCTCGTGCAGGTGGAGTTGCAGGACGACTGTGACCGGACGGCGCTCCAACTCTTAGCCACGCAGGAGCCACGAGCTCTCAGTACCGCCGCCCGCCGACGAAAACCGCGATCCTGGTCGAAGCATGGTGTTTCTCTTTGTTTTGGGGCCGAAGCATGGAAGGACGGGGGACATGGCGCCATGGAAAAGGCGAGTGAGAGGGGACAGTGTTTGAGGGGAATGATTTTGGTTGCTACATGTGTTTTTTCTTTTTTCCAAGTCTGAACGTGAGTCATGACCACCAGATGCAGGTTTAGCATCATTTCGGATCGAAAGGGAACCAATAGGATCCAATCATTTTGGTGTATTTCCTATATTACCCTGCGTGAAAGCTTCAATCTCACGAGAGGTTGAGGAGACGAAAGACTCGAGTAAGTCGAGTCGGCATCGAGTCCCCTCTCTCAGGTCAATGCGAATGCGCCACCGGAATTTGCTCCTGCTTGCGACATGGCGGCGCTGCAAAATGTGACATTGATCATCCACTGCACTCAGCAAGAGCTTTGCTACGAGAGGCGTTTGTTGCTACAGGAATACTTCCTCTATTTCAGACAAGCGACTGGGCTGTGAACTGCGACATCCTTTCTTTGTGCCCTTCAAATATGGGTGCACGGCAGTCACGGCAGGGTAGATTTGTGGGAATCGTATAATTTGTGGGATGCCCTTATGAATAGGGGTTGACGGGCCACCTTTGCTTGTTTCAATTCATAGGCTAGTATTTATTGTTGACCTCCCTGTTGAAAGCCACCGTCAATGAGGTGATCTTTCTAATGAAAAAAGGCCTTCCATGGACTTTGGCGCGCACTTGTGCTGGTGAAGCCTACCAATGTGTAGCGGAAGAGATCGAATCAAGCTCATTCGTGAACTCCAGGGGAATGCTCTTCTTGCACTTTGATGTAGCGATGTCTCCTTGCGAGATGTCAAGGCGTTTTCAGGTAGAGAGGGTCGGCACCTATGAGGAACTGGCAAATACCACTTCCGCAAAGCTGGATGAATGCAATAGCAAGAAGCTGAATTGCCGGTGGCGGTACTGGGATGCTGAAAACAAGACCAAGACACAGATCTTCAACGCCCTTGCAAGTCTCCTGGATTTGCTGAACCAAAAATCACATTATGGCCCCAGTAAACATCCCCTCGTTTCTGATTGTGGGAGTAAACATTATATCACTCATTGTATCATATTATATATATATATATCATTTTCCGGACATCTCCTTACAAGCGACTTCAACTGGATGACTTTCTGGAAGCTTCGTCCTTGAAGCCGTTTTTGTTGCACCGCTGAGATCTCGAAACGAAAAAGACACGTCTAAATCCATTCTAAACCTGCTTCCTTGTTTAATGGATGACCTGACAACCTTAAACAGTAATCCCGGTAAAAGAGCAACCAAACACGATGAACAACATAGCCTGGGTGTCCAAGACCTTCTCAGGTGATTGGAGACAGCTGTTTTGTAGGTTTGGAGGGCCCAAGTACCTTCCGAGAAGGTACTTGGATCCCTAGCGATAAGTTGTTTGATACAACAACAACAACAACAACAACAACAACAACAACAACAACAACAACAACAACAACAACAACAACAACAACAACAACAACAACAACAACACACGGGGCAGACGGACCGGTTTGTTGGGAACACCCGACTTGCAGGTTTGGAACGGATGCGCCTGGAGGGCGCCGGCGGGGCATTGCAAAGCCTGAGGAATGGCACCATCTTTCAGGTCTTCAGTGGACTCTTCTACCTTCCGAAGAAGGCGATGCCCGTGGCCGGAATTCCGGTTCTGTGGAGCCAAATAGCTGATCTATATAATAGCTTTTGACCACATGAACTGGAAGAATGGCTCCTCTTCTACGTCGAGCCTCCCCGTGTTTGCTCCCTGCAGGCCACATGTCTCTTCATGAAAGAACCGCAGACGTCCCGAGCCATCGGCATGTCGCCGCAAACACACCCTCACCATCCCTCACCTGAAACCAGAGTCGTAGTCGGCAGCGCCGGGTTTTGGTCTGCAGAGAGGCGTTCCAGCTCTTCAAGGCTGCGGCACAGATCTTCAAAGAATGGGATCTACCCACTGAGACGCCTGGCGAGGTCGTGCCGGTTTTGTTTCATCGGGAGTAAGGTTCGATCCTGGAGATCTGAATATAGGCAGAAAACATCCTGGTCCCTCCCTATGCCAATAAAGGTTCTAGTCACTCCTGGTCTATGGTTTTTCAAAGTTTTTCAGTTTTCAGAGGACTTTGGGAGAGGTGGTGGTTAAAATTGGCTCAAGGCAAGACAAACGTCTAAGACGCAGCTCGGGGAAAAAGACTCCTTTTTAATCCCATCACCAGAACAATTAAGTGAGGGAGAAAACAACGACACTTTTTGCTATTCCATCCCGGTTGACAAACCAAGTACCTGGAAGCACTTGTCAAGCCCTTGGCGATGGCCTTCGAGACGGTCGCTTGAAGTAGAAGAATTTGGAAGACGGTGATTGGCGAGACAACCCAATGCCCGACCGTCAAAGGTCAATCTTTAGGAGTTGCAGAATGTTGCAGACATTCACTCTCTCTCTCTCTCTACTATGGTTTGCAATATTTGTTGATATCCCAGTGATATCTCAGTAAAGTAGGTGTCCACCCATATTATTCTCAGTAAAATAGCTGTCCACAGTGGTGTCCACCCATGTTTCATGGTCCTGAAAAGGTGTTCGTCGAACACCAAACGTCAGGGATCCTCGGTTTCGACACTCGTTCTCCCATCCTTCGAGTACCCGGAACGGTGCTCAGGATTGCCGTGCCTATGCTGCTGGCTTTGGCGGCCCAAGGGGAGCTTCAAAATCTGGGCTGTGCACAGAAAGTGGCCCGGGATTGCCCAAGTTTCTCAGCTTTTTGTTGCTTTGCATTTCTGTGTTGAAAGGATCGGTTTGTTTGGAACCCCTTTTTCATGTGGAGTCTGATTCCAGAACCCCCTGCAGCAAAAGACAGCCCGAGATGAGTGGCAAAGCGCGCACCGTGCGTTTTGAGGGTTTTCCCTCCGTTGTGAGACCCACATGAGACCCACATGGAACCGGTGCAACTACCACGCCCGGTTGGTTTGGTCTTCAGAACATCGCCCTTCTTAGGTCCATGCCAAGACCGGTTCCGGTCTCTTCCCGAATATATGTCGTTCCTTTTTTTGGCAGTCCCCGTAGGTGGGTGAGCGTGAGCTCCATGCCAAGGGCTTTGTTTGTGCCTTGGGCGGCTAAACCCGGGCTGTCCTGGGTGGGGTGGGGTTGGGAAATGTTCTTGTATTAGTTCATTTAAAGGACAGCCTAAGAACCATTTAGCTTTTGAGTGGAAACCATGACATCTGGATTGTGGCAGTTCTCATTCGCAAGACATTGTGAAGATTTCCTGAGGATGAATACTTGCTGACATGAAGCACTCGAATCAGGAACTCTTGTTGTTCTTTTTTTTTCTACAATACCTCCAGAGGACGCCGAATCCAAGTGGACACCAGGCGTTTTATTGGACATGGACATGGTTCTTCCATGTGTTTCCACCCTACCTCCAGCGGATATTTGTTTCTCACCTCACCTCACGGATTCCACCTGGACCTCCAGGTTCCACAGCAAGGTCAGTTGGAAGCACTTCTTGCAAGTCCGGAGCAGTCAGAATTGTTTTAAGGATTTTTAAGGATCTTGAAGGGACATGTCTACAGAATTCTACACATAGGGCCTGGGGATTCCAATTGATGGACTTCCGGTAGATGTTCTGGTTAAACCAACTCATGGAAGGAATGTCCAAATTCATCCATTGCCATGTCCTCACGTCCAAACCTCGGATCCTTCGGCGAAAATTCACACCACGACCGTTTTGCTGCCGGAACCGAAGGACGGACAGACGGTCGGGGTCGTGTTGGGGTCGAACAGACACGAGGGAATGTCTGAGAAACTGGCCAGCAAGTTCGTGCTGTTCGGAAAAACTGTTCGGACATCTGTGGGAGGTCTAAAAAGTCTAGGGAAATCAATTAGAAATCCAACTATAGATGGTCGGATGGTCAAGAGCGCACGTGAACTGATGTGTTTTAGGTTTGAGTGCCTTTCCCTCCTTTCCCACTGGTGCAGTGCTGGGTTCTGTCACTTTCCGAGGCGGGCGTGGTATTGAACGGAATGTTCCTGCAATGAATACTCTGAAAGAACTGCTTTGCGCACCTTCGAACTCTTGGCTGCAGGGTTCAGTCCAACGGTGATGTTTTTCCAGTTTGAATTGGCCAGGAAAAAGAGAAATCATACCTGGATCTTCCAACATCTTCCTATGTAAAATGTCGGCCCTTGCTTCCAGGCTAATAAAGTTAAGGAGCTAGGGGCAACTTTCTCCATAAGAACCTGTTGGATAACACAAGGGTATGTGAAGTGTTTGCCCACCTTGGCTGGTTTCGTAGATGAAAAGGCAGACGCCTGGAAGATCCATATTTTCATGATTTGCGCATGTCTGTCTTTTACATACCCTCGGCAACCCCCCAAAACGCCTTACCACCCCTACCCCGCCGGGCGAAACCACCCCACTGACCCTGCGGTCGCTGTCACTGCGAGGAAGTACCTCCGACCGCAGCTCCTAGCGAAGGGCAAGGTGCCGCCCAGGTCTGGCGCGAAGACGTCGACGCCGTCGCTGCGGGCGAAGGTGGTGTGGCAGATGGTGCAGCCGGAGGACCTGGCGAGGACGGCGCACCGCAGTATGGGGGTGTTTGAAGAAGAAGGGCATTGCTTTCTATTTTGTGGATGGCAGATGTTCGGCAGGGCAATAATCCATTTGTTGTGATATATTGTTTATACTGGAAAAAATTGTTCCCATCCTGCTGTCCTTCTTTTGATTGTAGAGTTTGTGTGAGAGAGGTGAGGTCTGCGGGAAGGGCAAAACACAGTGATGATTCTGGAACATATCCTGTCCCGGGTGGGTGTTTTCTTTTTGCAATGGCATGCAATGGCAGTTTGTTGCCAGGATCTTATATCGGCAAAGCGCTTGGATTGCGGTGTTCTTGGTGTTTGTTCCCCCTCTCCTGTGGATTTGCATGCGATTTCTACGACTCCGGCGCTGCAGTGGGCGAGCATGAGAAGATGAGAGAGGATGGGTGGACTCCGTCTCGAGTCTCGAGAATTCCGTGTACATAGAGGGTTGATGGACAAGAGATCCGCTGCACATTCTCTTTTCACATGGATTTGTTTCCACTCGTGTTTCCACAAAAAAGATCATATACCATGTTTGTCGCACCTTTGCTATCGGTGGATCTTCTCTTCTCAACGTGAGAGAACGTTTCTTGAACTCACGCGCCTATCGCGCCCATGCGGGTGCGGAGCCTGGGCACATTAGATCTCCTAAGACTCTCTTAGAGGTGGAGAACAAATATTTGAGGAGCGCCATGGCGGGTGAGTGGAAGACTCCCTGGCAAAAGAAAGTGGGCACGACTGACTTGCAGGAGATCGGCCTTGCAGAAGCCTTGTTTTTCAATTTACTTATATAGCAGATTACGTTTCATGGGCAAACTTCCTGGACGTGATTGCGGCAAACAGAAGCCATGAGAATGGTGACCAGTCTCGTGTTTTATCACCTGTCACAAGCCATGTTTACATACCGCGGTGCATAGCCCGTTTCGACACGAACTTCAGGTCCCTCAAAGATGCATGAAGTTAGCGGTTTGTGGAAGGCAAACAAAGTCCTTTTCAAATCATGGTGCCACGAACCTATGTTTGACACATTGATCGCCTCCCTCAAAAACTATCCACATCTTGAAATCATGAAGCTTTTAAAGATATTTTCAGCTGCATGGAAACTGCACAAGCGTCAAGGCACAAATTCCAACCCGCGAGAAGGAGCAAGTCACTTTACAATCCAAACAAAACAGCGCACCCTTGTTCAATGATCCAGCCACTTACATACTACCCTTGCAGCGTGCCTTACAGAAAAAACCGATGCTGGGTCTGCTTCGAACCTTGGGCCGGCCAGGTGGGTGCTACAGATTTTTGGTTCACCCCCTCGCTCTGGGCCGCCCGCCCTCGATCCAGATCGACTGAGGAAGCCGGCTGCACCAGTGGAAGGCTTCTGGATGGCTCCCTGGCGACGCCAGTGGTACCCCTGAGCGCGACCGGGTCAGCTGAGCTTCCTTTCTCGGCAGCGGGACAGCTGAGTGTGCAAAACATTTGAAGATTCGCCAGGTACTGGTGCTTTTCAGAGTGTTTGTGCGTGTATTTATATTGCTTACATGTAGACGTTTTTGGGCGACTGCGGAAAGAGGGTCAGCCAATGGTCAACTACAGGGTGGCAACTGGTAAGCTGCTGTGACATATATATATATATATATATGCATACCAGGAGTCACAAAGGGGTGTTTTTTGTCCCTAAGTGAGTGGCACCACTATCCTCCAATAGGCACCCCTTTGTGACTGCTGATATATCATCATAATAATTCATAATATGTATCGTTAACTTTTGCGAGCCTATGTTTTCAGAGGTTCCAATTTTCAGACGCGGAAGGTGATTGGAGGTGGAGAAAGGGCCAGAGCACGAGTACATCATAGATTCATCCTTCTTTACTCATAATATTCTGAATTCATATTCAATGAATTCACCTCCATTAAACAATGAATATTGGCATAAATAAATATGAGTGTTAATACACCGAAAATGAAAACGGTTAATCATGTTAATGCACCTCAATAAAGGAAGTAATATATGCAAACTTAGTTATATTCATTTTGATTGTATATGTAACAAAGATTATTATATTCAAAATATGCTTTCACATAAATCTACATAATATATACAATTTTCTTTTAATGCAAATTATTATGATATCTTAACATTTTAATATCTTTCATGTGTTTTCAATGTCATTATATTTACTTTTAATCATATTTGTGTTTTTGTTTTTTAAATACTGTTGATTTATTTCCATTCAAAGCAATATCATTGTCACCCATTTAAATAAATAATTCAACATAGTTATGTCCATTTTTTCCAATGTCTTTATATACTGGGAGCCACTGATCTTAAAGCATGGGGCGACAAAGGCAAGGCTAGCAAAGATTCAGCTGCATGGCCAATGAAGCAGGCCTAGCCAATGGCCTCCGGCAAACACCCAGTTGACAGCATTTTCAGTCAAGAGCTGAATAAGTATGAGGTCAACCGCTTGTAGCTGTGCAAGAAGTGCAGTACTTGGTTGTTTGCTTTGGTAAATAGAACTTATATGTTGTTATAACATGTGTAGTAACATGTGTGTTAACGTAGTTGTAAACATGGTGTAAAAACTTCCAAGAAGAGTAAAAAACAAAGTTTTGCAGGTGAACCTATGGTACTTTTGAGTTCTCCACTGTTTTCATCGTTTTTGCACGAAGAACAAGAGAGCTTTCAATCGAAGAAAGGCAGACGGTTTTTGAACACACCAAGTGTCTCGAAGGGTTGAAAAGGAATCCGACGCATCCCTGTGCGGCCCAATGGGCCGCATCCCAAGATGATAAGAGTTTGATAAGTGATAGGTGCATCAGACGCGCACACGGCAAGCAACATGTGAATGTATAGGAATGTATAGCCTGAAAAGTTTCGAAGCTATACATGTATAGGTCGGAAAACATTGATTCCCATACATTCCTTTAATTTTCATTCTGTCACCAAGAACTATATATCACCCATGTTCTTTCACCTGAGCTCCAGCTGTGTTCAAAAATCTAGGTTGGAAAACACGTCCAATTCGGTTTGTTGGGCGGCCAGAAAATGTCATTAGAAACACACCAAACCCTTGTCTGACAAGATGTGTTTCACACTAAAAAATCATTGTATTGCTTACTTATCAGATTGAGTACGTAGTGCTTGGAAAGTTTCTAGTTTGTACACATGTCTTTAATTTCAACAGTTAACCTTGGCTAATAAAGGCTTCTGGTTTTGTAAACCTGAAAACCTAATTTTTTCACAAACCATATAACTAACTTATAAGTTCATAAAACCAAAGCCAACCACCAAGTAGGCTGTGTCAAAAAAAAAGCAGAAAGAAAGTGTACACCATTTGGGCCAAACCATATCAGGCGTGAAAAAGTACCCGCATGATGATTCAGCGCTTGATTACGGCATTGCATACCGGGCCCTACCGGGCCCATCGGCCATGAAGGACCCATCCGCAGCAAAGCTCACATTCCCTCAACGACTCGCGAAAGTTATCATTTTTTTTCCGTCTATGTATGTTTGACTAAATATGTACAATTACCCTTGTATACCTATTGGTCATACTTCTTGCCACTCATACATGTTTATAGTATCAGTTTGCCTTGCAAGTGGGGTATACCACAACACCGATCGCTGCGACCCGATCGCTTGCCAAACGAAGTCACGTGGGGCGTGGGTCAAACGAAGTCACGTGGGTCAAACGAAGTCATGACTTGGCAGGTGGACAAGATCATCAACAGATTTTCTCAGTGGGGTCTTCTGCCCGATGATGTTGAATCTATTTTGCAGCGTTGTTTCTTCGTGTCTGGCGGAACTGTTTCTACTTTTCCCCAGGAAACTGTTTGTGCACCACGCTGTTGACCCACATCCCAATGAGAAGGTTTCGGCCATTGGTGGCTCGGGCTGATCCAGGATGGAGCCGCAGTCGAATGGCTCACACCATTTCGATGGCGAATGGCTCAACCAATTTGAGCGAGGCCTCCAGGCGGCTCGTAGAGGCTTGCAGGTTCTGATCACTACCTCCAGTTGTTTCTTAGGCAGAGAAAGGGTCCTCAACTACCAACTTCAACATTTCTGCAAAATAGGGCCTCCCCATTCGGCTTCATACTGGTTGTATGGCGACTGCTCAGTCATCGCTTTCAAAAAGAGACCTCGAGTTGCGATTCGTTCGCGGCTGCATGTGGTGAAGACACCTAGGGCAGTTTTCCAATGAGGAACCACGAAGCACCAAACCGATTGTGCGCCACCCCTTGAAATCGCTCCTTGAAACCTGGGGACTGAGGGAAAAATGAGAGTTCAGGTCTTCGCACGGATGCTTGTTCACCATAGAGACAGGTCTTGGATGGGGCCGGTTCGACTTGGCACAAGAGAGCCAGATCCATTTTGAAGGCTGGGCATCATATGGCAGCAACGCAGCCAAGGTGTATGTATTTTGTTTAATGAACAGACATGTCTCCATTGTCACACATGGTGGTTCTGAACATGGAAGGTTTGTTTAATTAGGTGGAAGGAATGCACGAATATGCCATTGAGGGGTCATCATGACAGACCTCCAAACGTCAGTCTCTTCCGACACCAGCAGCCCACCGTGCCCAGATCCCGAGTTGGTCGCTTCGATGGTGTTGGAAAGCGCGCGCCGGGTCGGAATGCGCCCTTTTGGAAGGCAGTATGGGCAGTCCTATCCGCGCTGGGAAGGAATGGGGGTCCAAACCTGGAGCTTCCACCGGTGGGTGAAGCTCCGAGTGTCGGCGTTCCGTTCGAAGAGGGGTTCAGTCGGTCTCCCAGTGTCACGGCCGGCTGACGGCTGGGAGGTTGACCGAGGCTCGAGGTTTGAACGACCCATCGATATATCTCTGGACTGCACGATGCACTCGCCGATGGGTTTCTTTTTCTACGAGCATTCAGCACTGCGCCCTGCTTATCCCTGCTTGTTGGCAAAGCCGACTGTTGGTTCAAACTCCGACTGAAGTTGTGAACGACATTTTGCGATTTTGATCATCCAGCATCATGGTTCCTTTGCTGCATTGAATGCATGATGAATGCAAGAAGAATGCCAAAGAGGTTGTTTGCCGCGCTTCTGGCATTTATATGTGCTTTGTAAAAGCCACTTGAGGCAACCAAGATTGGCATCAACGGTTTTGGCCGCATTGGCCGCATGGTCTTTCAGGCCAGTTATATAGCCTTTGATCGGATTTCATTCATCTAGGTAGCCTGCTGTAGCAATCCGACAGATGCATGCGCATTAATCCGCAACATTCATTCTTTGAGGCTTTCTTTTTGTATCTTTTGAATTTTCCAGGCCATTTGCGACCAGAACCTCCTGGGGACCAAGCTGGATGTGGTTGGTGTTGTGGATATGTCTACCGATGCCGAGTACTTTGCGTATCAGATGAAGTGCTTTGCGCAGCAAACTGCTGGCTTTTGATTTTCCTTTGTGCCTGGAGGACCCAAGACGTTTGGGTCCCTTCAGTTGTACTGTCTATCCTTATTTCTCCAATCAGTCATGAGTGGCGATGCATTTGGTGTTTCAGGTCTTATATATAATCGCTATACGCACCTGTGAACAAGACCTTTGCCCATGAGTCATGCCATCAACGTTACCAGGTCGCGACACAATGGGGTGAGTTGCTGGTTAATGCCACAGCTCGATATGATGAAAACCAAGCCCATTGAAGCCCAGCCAAGCCCAAGACCACACCACATGAGTCAAATGATGACGTCAGGCTTCTCGCCCCGCTTTCAAACCTTCCAGTTATTTTACAGCCTGTGATACACGTGTTGACTAGGTACGACACCGTGCACGGCAAGTTCAAGCACGATGTGAAGATCGGTGAGAAGGACGAGCTGATCGTGAACGGCAACAAGATCAAGTGCATCCAAGCAAGCCGAGAGGGTCCCAAGGCCTTGCCATGGAAGGACCGAAGATTTATGTAGACATGCCAAGCACACAGAGGAGGGAAATGTGCCAGTCAGATGATTATATATTGCATGGACTGTATCAATACATGTAATTTCTTTTTGTTGCAGTGTTTTCAATAATTTCAAGGTTGAGGCAGAGGCATGTTGATTATCCAAGGTAGTAGCGCAAGACCTTGGAGCCCTGAAAGCATCAATGTTGAGGTCATCCCAACACCAAGCATCATCAATCATCATTCAATACCAACACAGGTTGAAGGACCGTATAGACTATTCCATAGGTACCCTAGTAGGGTCCTATATTGTCGCTTAACCTCTCTTGCCAATGGCATTTGCCTTAGTCAACATTAGTTGTCCGGTTCTTGATCTCGTCCTGTTCCGTCCGACCTCCAGGAAATGGGAGTGGAGTATGTGATTGAGTCCACTGGGCTCTTCGTCGAGGCCGAGAAGGTGCAATACTTAGTTGTATTGCGTTCAGACTGACGGACTGACGGCGATTTCGGGGTCATTTGCAAGGTGTGGAGCTATTTTGAACTTGTGAAGTACCAAGGCTGCTGGACACATTGAGGCAGGTGCCAAGAAGGTGATCATCTCTGCCCCTGGCAAGGGCGATTTGAAGACCCTGGCTTCTGGATCCAACAGCGTGAGGAAGATGTAAGTGCATGTTCAATCAGATTCATAGTTTTTGCAGAGGAAGACCACTCAACTTGTTTGTAGGCTTGTACATTGACATGTGTACAGGTGTTGACTGTATATTGTGCTTCACAATCTCGAAGGAAACTGCACGATACCACATGGCGTACGCACGTTTGGTAAACATTCTGCAAGATTAGCGTTCTCGAGAGTTTGTGTGGCTGCTTTCTTCACTGAGGTTTGCGGTGTGAACCACACTGAGTATGACAAGGCCAACCACAATGTGGTGTCCAATGCCTCCTGCACCACCAACTGCTTGGCTCCTGTGGTGCATGTGCTTTTGAAGGAGGGAGTGTATGCACGGACATGTGGTTAAGTTTAGCGTATTTTTGTTGTATGTGTGTGGCAAACAAGGTATATGAAGGTATCCGTGTATTTTTAATAGATGCTTCGGGCATCAGGCGTTGTTTGGACTGGTTTTGCGCCTTCAATCCAGCGGTTTTCTTGACTCACTTCTTTTGCCAGGAGGGCATTGGAATTGAGAAGGGTCTGATGACCACCATC